GGCTTTCAACACTGGATGTCAACAACAAATGGAGCAGCAGCCCTCGGATCTCGGTAAGTAAAGATCTGTGGAGGGTGAAGATGGGATTGTTTGGGGGGGGGAAATGCACTTTGAGCAAATAACTTACATTTGCTGGAGGCCCCATTCACACTGCGTGATTTGCATTTTGTGCGATATCGCGCAAATGTTTGCATTGCAAAGAATGGAATTGCGGCAAAATCCGCGCCAAAAAGGGTCCTGCTGTAGCGACGCATGACCCGCGACAGCAGGACCCTTTGCCCCATTGCCTTGCAATGTGAACGGGGCCTTTAAGTTTAACCCACAATAGAAGACCACCAGGATTCATAGTAATCAGCAGATCTATGCAGTCAGCTGATCACTGCTCGCGGGGTCGCCACATGCCTTCCACTTTTCTAGGTGAGAGGCTCCTCAGCCTCCCCCTAGCGCAGCACTGTCAGTTCTCGCGCCGAGCAGCCATTCAAAATATGCTGCCCAACCCTGCGTGTCAGCTTGAGGTGGGATGGGATGGAAGTATGGCCTAAAAGGAGCTCTTATTATACGTGCATTGCTTATAGCTCCCTCATGTGTCCTGTAGAGGTGCCTGGACCAGAGTGACGTCACATTCTAGCTCCCGAGACCTCTACAGGGAGTGCAAGGGAGCTGTACAAGCAATGCACATATGTATGGAGCTCCATCACAGTACAGCAGCTCACACTGGACCCAAGGCTGAGGATCCACTCCAGTTTTCGTAAGGTAGGGAGACTAGGTGGACCCAGGGCCGCCGTCAGGGGGGTACGGCCAGTACCATTGTAAGGGGCCCTGGCTGACGGGGGGGGGGGCCCGGGCTCCAAGCTATAATTTTTTTCTGATAGAATTATATGAATAGTTACATTTACCTGGTCCCGGGCCCCCCGCTATTGGTATCTTCCACTGAAGTGCTTACAGGGAGGGGACCTTAAGTTCCGAGGCAGAAGCGCCGGAGATAGAGGATGAAGAAGAATATGATGGCTGCTGCCTGCCTGGAGGGGAAAGGTAAGTGTTTCCCAGCACTGCAGACAGAGGCCCCGGGGATGGTGGGGGTTGTGAGAGACGGGGGAGAGATAGACAGATGCTGACAGCTTCTTGGCCTCGGTCGGTCTCTCTCATGCTTTCCTCCCTCCTCTCAGCATGGTCGGACACTTGAGAGGAAGGAGGGAGGGGGGCAGGGAGAGTGAGCGACGGACACTAGGGGGGGGACAAGGGGGTGGGGGGGGCAGACAGAAGTTATCGAGCTCAGTACATGCCTCCCTGACAGACTTCCTCCCCTTCATAATAAACACGCTTTATTCATGACTTTAGAACAGCAGAAAACTGCATGTGCACATTTTAACCACTTGCTGTCTGTGGCATTTTTTTACATTTGCACACACATGATAACATATAAAGTTTTGGCTAGAAAACAGCTTCAAACCCCCACACAATGATATATGTTCTGAAAGCAGAGGCCCTGTAGAATAAAAAAATGCTAGTTGCAATTTTTTATGTCGCCCGGTTTTGGCGCAAATGTTTATCAAACCAGTATTTTTAGGAAAAAATAAACGAAAATAAAATTTAGTGCACAGAAACATAATATAATATCCAATTTTTTGGTAAAATATGAAAAACGGGGTCACGCCGGGTAAATAGATACCAAACATGTCAAGCCTTAAAATTGCGTTCGCCCGTTAAGCCGCAAAAAATGTAAATACCACAAATTTCGCATAGGGAACATTTTAAACACTTACCGCTCATCAGTTTAGTGCTAACAGTCATTGATGGCCCTAGAATTATTGCTCTCACTCTGACATTGCGGCGATATGTAACATGTGTAGCGCAATTGTCGTTTTCGCACGTAGGAGCACCGATGTGGGGGTGGGGGGACTTTTTACATTTTTTTTAAATTTTTCTTATGTGACTTTAATTTTTAAACACTAACGCTATTGCTATCACATAGGGGCTAACAAGCACCCTATGTAATAGCAGATAGGGTGTGACAGGTCCTCTTTATGGAGACATCAGGGGTCTTTCAGACCCCTAATGTCACCTAGGAACCAATATTGAATGCACGGATGACTTAGAATACACATTTTAACTAGAGCTGCAACAACTATTCGATTTAGTAGACTAAAATCGACAATGGAAAACGTTGTCAACGCTTTCCATCGTCGATTAGTCGGCTGTCAATTAAATTGCCTGTTCGCCGCCACGCCCACCGCACAAGCCGCGCACGCTGAGGACATGCCTCTGCTCCTCTCCTCCCTGTGAGCTTCCTGACTTGCCGCTGCCTGCCGACAATCAAGGGCCCACGATTCAGAGTAAGTCACTCAGCAACGACATGATGAAACCTTTTTAATGTTTCCTGCTTTAAAAAAAAAAAAGCAGCACATTGTAGAACACCAGCAGCTATAGAGGAACAACAAATCCCAGCAATACTATATTAAACACCCTGTATAATGTATTATTGCTGGGATTTGTTGTTCCTCTATAGCTGGTGGTATTCTGCAGTGTGCCGCTGTATAATGGATTTGTTGTTCCTCAATAACTGGTCAGTGGAATTCGGCATTGCGCCGTATAATAATTATACAGCGCAATGCAGAATACCACCAGCTATAGAGGACTACAAATCCCAGTAATAATACATGATACAGCGCAATGCAGAATACCACCAGCTATAGAGGACTACAAATCCCAGTAATAATACATGATACAGCGCAATGCAGAATACCACCAGCTATAGAGGACTACAAATCCCAGTAATAATACATGATACAGCGCAATGCAGAATACCACCAGCTATAGAGGACTACAAATCCCAGTCATAATACATGATACAGTGCAATGCAGAATACCATCAGCTATAGAGGAACAGCAAATCCCAGCATTAGTACATTATATACAGCACAATGCAGAATAACGCCAGCTATAGAGGACTACAAATCCCAGCATTAGTACATTATAGTATAATGCACTATTGCTGCATTCCTCTATAGCATGCTGGTATTCTGCACTGCGCCGCTTTATAATGTACTATATTGCACACCACACTTTTTTTTACTTCCACCGCGCCAAGCTTGCTCCCGTGATGGACTACAATCTCAATACAAACTAGTAGTCCATCACTGAAGCCTTTAAAAAAAAATCCAATTAATCGAACTTAATAATCGGCGAACTAATTGATTTTGAAAATAATCGTTATGTGCAGCCCTAATTTCAACGTCATATATTAAGTTGTAACAGCGTTAAAACCGGAGGGACGACCGGTGGGCGGACTCGATGGGACAGGCGGGTAAAAAAGCCGGGGGGGGGGGGGGGGGGGCCCAGGCCTACAGTTGTGTAAGGGGCCCCAAAATTTCTGAAGGCTGCCCTGGGTGGACCTTTAAAACATTTTTTATTAATTATATTTTTTGGGAGTGTGGATGTGTGTGAGATTGTGGTTGTGTATATACAGTGGTACCTCGGTTCACGAACTTAATTCGTTCCACGATTCTGTTCGCTAACCGATTTGGTTGTGAACCGAATCAAACTTTGATCGGACCGCGATCTTGACTAGAGGAAGCCATGTGTCCGAGCAGGGAAGATGGCTGCGGTTGTGTTCGTCACCCAAGCGGAGTTCGTGAACGTAATCAAAATTTTGCCGAACTTCCTGTTCGCGAACCGAATCGTCGTGAACCGAGGTACCACTGTATG